ACTACATTATCTAATAGGTATTAATAAGCGTGTTGATGTGTGTGTGTGTGCCCTGAAAGAGTACTATGTTCTATCCCCAAAATCAAATTCACAGAGTTCCATAGCACTTTTTGTACATCTTAGACTTGGGTCTACATAAACTGCCTTAAATATTTTATTTTTCTGCCCTCTCAACATACCTGTCTCTTCTTCTAGAAGCAACAATCTTTCTACATGTAACTTGACTATGAAATAATTAATTTTATGCATTTCTATGTAATTGCTCAAGCTTTTTTCTTAATCTGTATACTAGGGATGATAATAGAAATTTCCCTATATGTTAAAGGCAAAATTAAGAAAGAGATAAAAATACATATTACAAAACAAGGTACTACACAGATATTTCATTTTAAAGATGAGAAAGTAGAAAGTATATATGCGACAAAAATTTTGAAATTCAAATATCTTATATTAGAGATATTTATTTTCTAGTCTTAGTTTTTATCTTATGTTTTGTGGTGTTTCGTTCACAGTTTTTTTATTCATTAAGTTCACTGGTATGCTTTATGTATACAACATGATGATGTTCATCATTGGGTATTTGTACCTTCACATGATATATCTTAATTTTAATTTTTTTCCTCATTCTCCTACCCTCTCTGCAACCCTCCACTCTTTCCTATCTACAAAGACTTTTCAAACCTAATTGATCTATCATTTCTGGAGCAGAAATTTTATAGTGATAACAAGAGAGTATTTCTTATGAGAAATACAATGCCATTTATTTAAGATACTGTACAGAAATTACAATAAAATTTGAAGTAAAAGACTTTAAATTTTTGAAGATTCTCCAACCCACACTGGTCTCCAAACTCACCTTCATCATCTCATTTACTTTTGGGCTAATCCATAAAAATCCTTCATTTCTGGCCAATATATCTTCCTGAGTATGAGTAGGAAATAAAGCTTTTTATATGGAGTTATGGGGATAATATTGATGATGGAAAAAGAGGGCAAGAAAAAGAAGGAGAATGTCTGATTAAATGTGCTCATGAAAGTCTCCAATGTTTGCAAACTGACCTCTGACCTTGCCCTTGAGACAGCCAGTCCTTCCCTGGTGAAGTGCACTTCCTGTCTTCTTCAACACCATGGACACCAAGGGGAAAGGTACGTGCAGCACCCCAGGGAGTGGTTGGCTTCACTGACACTCTTATGTGAGTTACTACGAAAAAATTTAGCTAACACCAAGTGGTTTCAGATTAATAGGTGTAGAAGAAGTATGATTCTTTATCTGTAAAGGACTTGCACTGGGCTTAATAGAGTGAGTCAGTCATCATCAAGTGGTGGACCTTCCTAGCTTTAGACATTTGGCAAAAGCTAAAGAACTTTTGCAGTGCATTAGTGGAGGTCATGGAGCACAGGCTGGATGCTATTGCTATTTCAGGGAGAGAGGACAGAGTGCTGGTAAGCACTGTCCAGTGCACAGGATAGATCTCTTAACAGGAGCTTAGGTACCATAGAAAGTGACAAGGCTGACTTTGAGCTGCTGTGGACCACAAGAGCCAATGAGTCCAATTTGTTTCCTCTCCAGAAGGTCAAAATGAAATTTTCTTGTTCCCTGGTCTATTACCTGACTTGGACAAGTTGAGTCACCTTGGTAAAACTTTCAATTCTGAGGTCACAATGCAGGAATAATGGCCAATGTGCATCTTATGTTGTGTTCTTAGTTTCATTCAAGCCAGTGCTATTTAAATTGAAAAGCAAGCTAGTGTTAATTAATTGCTTTTGCTTCCTTAGACATTTTACATGAAAAGTAGTTGAGTAACAACCATAAATTTTGTATGATATAAGCAATAAAATCATTTGTGAATTTTATCATGTCAGACTGTAAAACTGAATACATTGGTAAATGTGCAGATAAATGTACTGACAGTTAAAGAACATTTATCCAGGTATGAGTTTCCTAGCACTCATGTTAATTTTTCTAAATACAATGCATATTTTCTTTAAACATGTACATAAAATATCCACTTAACATTGCATTACTGTAGATTGTGTAATGTAAATTTTTGGATTCAATATCATTTTGGAAAAATAAAATCTTATGAAGTTAATAATATAATATTATTTAAATTTTGCAAATAAAAGATTAATTTACATTATATTACCTGTAGTGTGCATTACGTTCAATTATTATACCTACTTTACTTAGCTATTCTTCATATACATATCATTAATATTTACTTCTTATCTTGGAGATTTTCACCTTTATTTGTGAAAGGTTCTGTGGAATTTAGTCTTCTAATTATTACAATTTTAAATCAAAAACTTTTTGGGAGTAGTGCAACTGAGGGTAAAATATGATTTTAATTTTTAAGCAACACGCTATTTCTTTATTTGGTGAGTGTGAATCACTGATAAGAACTTTATTATTATTACTGCTTGGCTATTTCCATCCCCAGGAAGAGCAAATTGATGAAACCACATCTGACCACTCACAAAGATTTTGAAAGTGATATTTTATAGAACAGAGAAAGTAGATCCTGTCTTGCCTCTGAGCCCCCATTACCCTACTACAAATGCAGTGTTGTTCTTCTCAAGAATGACAGTAACCTCTGCACACACTGCGCCACATGACTCCAGATGTGGTCCCTGCTGGACAGATGCAGACTGAGAGCCCACGGGTGAGCAGGATGGGAGGAGGTGAAGGGCGAGGACCACAGGGTGGGTGTTCTGCCTCCTCTGCCTGCTAATAATGGGACACGAGAAAATCATTTAACTTTCTAAATCTTGTGTTGCAATATACATGATGATTGTTATGAAACCTCAGACAATTTTTGAGGAATACAATAAAACTCAAATTTGGAAAAATATCTAAACGTATTGGCAAAGTGAAGAAATTTCATAGTATTAATATGGTGAGTTAGCAGATGTAGACCATGGCATCATTTTTATGACAAGTTTTTCCTCATCCCCAGTATCAGCAACCAAGCAGCTCTGTGTTTATTTTTATCAAGCGTGAAGATGAAACATACAGATAAGATGTGGTATTCTCATATAACTATTTAAGATTCTCACATCTATGAGCGATTTAAAAACTACAAACTCCTGAACAATCTTACTGTTGATCAGCTGGAGAAATTCTAAAGATATTCAGCTATTTTAAGAGAATGCTTTAAAAGTCTAGAATCAAAGTGAATTCAATTTCCAAGTGTTTACCAGGTACAGAAGCACTTGTGGGTGTAATATGAAAGCACAGGAGTGACCCGCTTCTCAGACTGTGAGAACATACCTCACCTGCAGGGGCGCAGTGGAAGCTGTTAGTTCCTCCTTATCTGAGCTCTCACAGCTCTGAGTCATGCCTTGGGGCAGCGGAGATAGACAAGGCTTCCCTGGGCAGGAAGGCTTGTGATGACCTCACCGCATAGCTCATCCCTGATGCTGTGGTTCTGTTTAAGCAGGGCCCCTCCTCCTGCTGCTGGCATCCACCCTGGTCCTGAGCCAGAATGAGGCCTCCCATAGCACCTGTGTTCCGGGGGACAAATGTCACCTGATTCTCCAGGAACTGTATCATAGTGCAACCTATTTGTCTCAGAGCATGCATTTCTATGCTTTAGACCTGTTCTTGGAGTTGGTAAGTATCTCATTTTTTATACCTTCCCAAGTGGAGACATCTCATCCACTATTGGCCTACAATATATTTCAGACTTGAACTCAGCAATGAAATATCTAATAATAAATATTAATATGATTAACAATGGTGTCAGCCAATAATCTTGGAACAAGAACGGAATTTTTAATAAAATCTTAAATTCAAAAAAATAATGATTTAAAAAACCCATTATTACACATGATTTTTAACATTTTAATCAGCTGACATATCACTTTTAAGCAGGGCCGAGGAAGAGCACTGATTTCTTGCTCTTGCACACAGGGCCAGTCCTCGGGCGTCCTTCACTGGTGCCCTGCAGACAGCTGAGACGTGAGAACGGCTTTGCAGTGCACTGGGGGATTGAGTAGAGTTCAATAAACTGAAGTCTTTTAGAGGAAAGATATCCCAAATTAATAGCCATTAGAAATCTCCAAATGCTCAAATTAGTTGTTCAAAGATTTCCAGTGTAGAGTTTATAATTAGAAGAAAAAGTCTAGATTAGAAGAAGGCACAAGTTCACTCTTTCCATGGGTACTTTGAACATTGTTCGGTCTTCTAGGTCAGACAATAGATTAGAGTTTAGAACAACCAAGAACCTCCATAGATAACATGGCCCTGCAGTTGTGATACACGCATATATTCATACAGTTTTTGTTATTCATTTCTGTTTCTTTTAGTTCCCATTTTCAAGTGGTCATTTTGTGTCTTCCAAATCATCCTGTCAATGGCTGTAAACCTTCACAACTTTGTGCTAATACTACTCAATGCATTTCTCTTAGATTTTCATCTCAATGTATTATTTACAATTTCCTATGGTGTTTTGCTTCATTTTATTTCTTATCTTTTCACAATAAAATTTTGTATTTTGAATTTATATAAACATGGCAATATTCATGTTTATGGATTAAAAAGAATTTTTAAAAACACACTATTAATCTTTATTTAAAAATCAGATATCATTTTGGACCCAGATGAAAATGAGATTAGGTAGATTTAGGTGTATATGTAGAAAGGTTTTAGCTCATGGACTAGAGAAAGTGATAATAGCAGTAATTATAGATTTGCAGTTTTACAGCTTTTAGGGTTTGCATTTGAAAGTGTGACTGGTGGGAAGGTGAGAGGACAGGGCACTGCAAAGAAATGAAGAGGTGGAGAGGTTAGAATTGAGCTGAAAATAGTGAGATTACAGCGCTACTGGAAACACCAGGCTCAATGGTTACTTTATTAATTTGTTAGATTCAGTTTCTATGTAGATCTCACTTTTCAAAAAAGTACACATCCACCAAATGTATTTATATTTTATTAATGGATTCATGTTTTCAATTTGCAAATCCATATGAAAGACATTTTCTTCATCATTTCAGATGGATGTGCATTCCCAGCGCCCAGGCTACTTCGCACCAGCCAAACAAAGGTGCCGCATGGCTGACATCCTCACTCCATATTGGCAAAATAAGGCCAGGCTGATGCAGGTGAGGCCCTAGGCCGGCTCCAGCAGAACAGGTGAGGCAGTGACTGCCTCTGCCCTGCCCCAGGCTCTCTGAGGCTCGGGATCAGTGGTAGCAGTAGTCACATCTGCAGGGAAAGGAGGAAAAAGTAGCCAACCAAAGAAAAAGTGCTCTGTGTAATTGGTGAACTATACACAAAATCTAAGATTTAGTGAAGATTGTATCAAAACCAGAAATTGGCCATGCACGTCATATTAGTTTAGCCCATGCCTTGTACCTAGCACTGAATATAGAACGCTGCTTGAATCTGAGCTGAGCTGGCTATTCAGGGACACGTGTAAGATGTGCAGATTCATCCTTGTGGATCACAGGTTCCTGGGACTCCTGCGTTGCTGGTGTTTACATTAGTGACCCCCGCGATCTGCGCCTTCTCTCCGGGATGCCCACCACTCTCCTCCTCCTCCTCCTCCTGCTTCTGCTTCTCTGATGTGGACTTCCTCACTCTGCACTCACCCCCTCCTCCTGTGTCTCAGCTGAGAGTCACCCCGCTGTGCATGTCCTGTTCTATATTGTGTCAGAGATGCAACCCTGGTCTCTGTTCTGATGACCACAGTCTCTCACATTCAGCCCTCATCATTTGTCTAAGCTCCAACTGTTTATGGTTAATACCAGTCTCTTCTGAGTCCCTCACAGGAGCAAGGTCTTAACATTATTTTACATAATTGGAGAGATTTTCAGAGTTAAAACAACATTGAATTGTATTCATTTGAACTCTCATTACAAAAAAGGAGTTATTTCTGTAGCCATTTTTATTTGTTTTACTGCAGCACGGTGTAGGCCAAATGCTTAAACTCTATTTTTCTTAAAACTTCTATCATCTACATGAAAATTTTACATACACAAAAAAATAGCAAAGGCTTATATTACCTCGCCTCTCTGAGCAAAAGTCTCATGTAACTACCCAGCTGTGTTTCCCTTATTTTACTGTGATTGCTCCAAACTGTCTGCATAGGAAAAGGACCTTGTCCACATGGCGGTATACTTGCTGAACTCCTGGAATGACACTCTGCCGGGATTGGCCCTAGATACACATATCCTGCTGAAATTCTATCATCCTCACTCAAGCAAAGACAGAAATATTACTTTAACGTATCAACAACTTAAAGAAGTAACAGTTCAAATAGCCAGCCAGGTAAGCAGCCTTTTGATGTGTCTTTGCATTTCTAATAGCCAGTTCCACAGGTGGTGAGAGTGTGTTGAAAAGCCTCACTTGGCATGAGTAAAACTGATGCCAAATGTTTCGTCTTCCATTCTGCTGTTAAAATATGTAGTAGCCTTGGGGTGGGGATTTAGCTCAGTGGTTCTGCTACCTGCCTCACAAGCTCAAGGTCCTGAGTTCAATCACCAGCACCAAAAAAAAAAAAAAAAAAAAAAATTAGTAGTCTTAGCCAAACACAGTGCAAATTCTAAAGTAAGTGAGTGTTAGGGTTCCCTGTCCAGACAGGGGTCATCTTCCCTGCAGTGTCCCCTAGGACTGTCCCTTCATGGGGTCAGTGGTTAAGCAGAAAGAAAATCAGAGCAGAGCATCTGACAAGAAATATTTTCTTCAGTCTATCTCAGGACAATCACACAGGAATTTGGGTCAGACTCTTTCTCTATTCTCCTCACATCAGAAGATCAGAGTGGAAAGGGAAAAAGGAAAAATCACAGTCATATAGGAAGGTCGGCTCCACACCGTAGCCAGAGTAGACTGAGGCAGCCCAGTCAGCAGTGCTGACCCACAGGCACCGGAGGTTAGAACTTCACCAGGAAGAGCTGTTTCTGCTGAGGAAGGTTCCTAGCTTTACAGTTTGCAGAAATTCCTCCTAAATTTCACTGTCCTTGCTGTTTCTAAGTGCATATGTATGTCATAACATTCAAACTTCAGAAATCTTTTATCCTACCAAGATTGAGTTCATATTTTTATTATGTATCTCCATTCATTTAGGAAAATTTCCATATTAGTGAAACAGCACATAAGCATCTGTCTAATGTTCTCAGAAAAAATGTATTATATGTGGATATATGATTTTCGAAGTCATAACAAGAGTAATTTTATATTTCTGTTCTTTCCTAAATAGCTGTTACCTTGTATCATTTTTGTAGAAAAGTCCCCTGTGACACAAGAAAAAAAGAGAATGTTAACCAAGCAGCATAGGCAGGAAACGCCTTAGTTTCAAGTTGTTTTCTTTATTACTGTGAGCACACACTTTGAGGACATGAATTAGTTCTAGAATTCATTGTTTTATGTCTCTTTTCCAAAACCTACTATACTATGGTGCACATAAGAGTACTTTTACAAGATACATTTTCTTAGGCCCCAAGCTTCAAAAGTAAAAAGTAGCACAAACTTGCATAAACTATAAAGTCGCATGCTTCCAATTTCAATCACATGTACTCTTACTCTGTCGAGAAAGCTCTGCAGATCAGGGTCTGCAATCAGGCCAGACTTGCCCCTCACAGCTCTGGAAATGAGCTGACGTCTTCAGAGGCAGCACAGTGGGCCTGGGCCTGGGTCTCTGGGATCTGAGGGTCTCCCAGCTTGCAGAGGCCGAAGGGGGGCACAGGCCCACTGCTCTCCTGCTCTGTGCAGCACCTTCCTGAAGCACAGTCTCCCACCCTCAGCACAGCCTCAGCATGGGGTTGCTGCCAGCACCCTCCTTCTTACACATGCTTCTCCAAACTGCTCCCACCACAGGGAACTCAGAAGGGTGCAGCTGCCTCTCATTTGGAAGATACTTTTCAGGGTAAAGTGAGGCATCTGACATTTTGTCACTCCTGATTCCATTGTCAGCACCATGAAGCACTAAGTGCAGATTCAACATCTCTAGAATCCCAGTACTGACACAGAATGCAGAATAGATTCAGTTTAAAGTGACAAAAAATAAAAGCTCAGCTATCACAAGAAATGAAATACAAATGCAACATCAGGGACAACTTTGAGGAAATGTAGAGGTTCTTTAAGCCCCAGAGTGGAAGTGACACTCTCTAGGGTTCTTTGGTTAAATCCATGTGTATATGCAAGTGAGCAACTTTTTGGAGTTTCCCCACCTACACCTCCAGGAACATAAATCTCCAGAGATTACTTGCACGTCAGAAAAACAGGACCTGTGTTCTGCTTCTGGCTTTTAAGTGACCAAGAAGTTTATGATATGCTGGACAGCATACATGAAAACTTATGTTTTAGCTAAAATTTTAAACTTACATTAATTTCTAAATCTCAATTTAACAATTTTAAGAAAGAAGGATACACAAATATTAATAACATTATTAACAGGGACTATCTTTTTATGTCTAGCTTGATATTGAAGTCCCAGACAAAGTGAACTTTGCTTTGCAGTCATACACAGAATCCCTGATGTCATCTGATGAACGAACTCTCCTGTTTAGTGTTTATAGCACCCTCCGCTGCTTTTTCATTGATGTAAAAAAGATTCACTTTTTATTCTCCCTCTTGAAGTGCCGTGCTGACAACAAAGTCAATTGCTAATCCTGTATTTACACCTTTTCTTTCTGAAATATTTTCTAATGTTTCATTCTTGGAATGCTTATGTTGATACATAACTTCTTAAGTAATGCTTGCCTGTAAAGGTTAAATGTCTTTTTTAAACAATAAAAAGTGATTTATTTGGCATTGTCAAATCTTCTAAGTCATGTTGTTAGTTTCTTTTCATTTAACAAAACCCTCAAAAATGTATCATAAGGATAAAAGTGGTAGATTATGATTAATCACTATACTTATACAATACAGAATGGATTTTCAGAATTCTTTAAGATGACTGCCACATTCTATGACCTCACTTTGACAATATATCGACAATGATACAAGAACTTCTGTTACAGCCATGCATCAAATGACATGAGTTTATTAAGCCATCTAAACATCGTTAGGACACAAACACGAACTAGCTTCAGATTCCTCTGCTCCTGTCTTCACCCACACATCATATCAGCCACACCCATCTCCTTAGCATCACCTAGGAGGCTCTCCATTTGTTCTACTCACTCCAGTTATAAAAATCCAGTCTGGTCTAACTCCATCTCATGTTTGACTCTTTAATACATTCCTCTGGGGCCAGGATTTAGCTCAGTGTTTCCGCCGCCTGCCTTGCAAGTGCAAGGTCCTGAGTTCAATCCCCTGTACCCGCCCCCCCCAAATGCTAATACATTCCTCTGTCTATGGTGGCTGAAGGAATACCATAGGGAATGAAAATTTAGTCATTTCCTGCCAGGTTCCTCTGCTCAATCTCATGGTTTCCATTTCTCGGACTACATTGGTCCTGGACGGAAGGGTACAGGAGGGGAAAGGTTCCGACATCACTGACTGGGAGCTGCTGTCATACACATCCCCCTGCTGACAGGACTCATCCTGAACTCACTCTCAGTGGGATGTGTCTGTCTGGTGGTGCACTCCTGTGATTCTCCAGGACACCCACCAGTGGGCACAACACACTGCAGACTGTCTCCCTCAGAGAAAGCCCAGGCTTGACTCCCACATCCCCCACACAGCTGTGCCACCTGCAGTAGCATTCTTTCCAGCCTCTGCTGCTGATGCCTCACACTAGAATTCATGTTCCATGACCCACACAGGCAGTGAGAGACACCACTGCTGCAACACAACTGTGCCCTTCCCGGTGCTTCCCCAGGTCTCCTTTCCTCCTCTTTTTAGACACACCGTACATCAGAGAGTTGAACCCATTGGCAGACATTCACCTGAGCAAGAAGATGCCACCCTTCCCTTCTCTCAGCTCAATGTGTGAGAATCTCTAGCAACAGCAATTTAGAGCATAAGTCTCCCATGGTTTCCAGCAGGCAAGTGAGCAATGACACCCCCCATGCCTTCTCACTGTTCTACTCACTGAGCTTGGAGAGAGCAGACTGCATGAGGGCAGCTCAGCTGGGCTCTACGGATCCTTCAAGAGCTCACCAGAACAAACTCTCCTCAGCAGGCAGAGGGCTTGTCTGAGAAGTTTGGTATCAGCTTTAGTGTTTCGTGGCAAGTTGTAGATAGTTGACATTCAGCATCCTAATACACATTTAGAAAGTGGAAGGTTGGAATAATTGGTGGAGAGCAATAGAAAATAGAACCAAATAAGAAAGATAGAAAGAAATGACATGAATGAAAAGTAGGCAAATATCATCCCATTTTCTCTTTTGCATCTTCCTTTATTTATATTTTATTTCTTTCCTGAAATTTTCTTTGTATTAGGAATATTCTTTGTCCTTACAAGTTGGGTTTCTATAGGTGTTCAGAAAAGCAGAATCTGGCCCTGTGCACATGAGAATTTGAGGGCATTATGGTGTCTAGCCTGCTCTGCACTCTGTGGGGTATACTTCTTTCCTACTTTGACTTCTTTTACCATGTCCCCCAACCCCTTAATCCTGCCTTTAATAGGTTTTATGAATGTAAAACATTTTGCTGCCAGGCTTTCTGTCCAATTGACTGTTCATAACAGGAGTGATCATGCTAGGGCTACAGGTGGACTGCTCCTGGGAATTTATCTCATATCCCTCTACACCACCAGAATACCACACTTTTAATGTCAGCATTTTTCATTTATAAAATGACTTTTCCAGCCATTAAAATTTTTTGAAAGCATCATGCTAATTGCCTCACATTTCATTATATGAAACAGCCTGTGAAGCTGGGGATGGTGGCCCATCACTGTAATCCCAGCACTCAGGAGGCCGAGGCAGGAGGATTGGAAGATTGCTTTGACTTAGATTGCTGGCTGGACTACATAATGTTTTCAGGACCATTCTGGACTACAGGGAGACCATTTCTCAAAAAACTGAAAAGACTATAAAATAGTGCTGTAGACAGAATGTACATATAAAAGTGAATACTTTACTGCCTGAAGACCCTGCACACTGCTTACTGCACACCCAAGAAGGGCTGGGCTGGGTCCAGGACTGCTGTGAGGGACAGGCCACCCTGACTCCCTGAGCCCACGAGCTTCCTAGCATGGCAGTGACACCGAGGGCTGCCCAGGACGGCTGACCTCACCATGCTCCAGGGCTGCTCCCCTCCACCCAGCTCCTCTGCCTTTTCTCCCAGGGAGAGAGCAGCTCCTGGGTTAGGTAATTTCCCTCCCTTTGCAACCTATAGCAGGAACATGGCCATATACATGAGAGTAGTTGAGAAAAATAATCAAAGTTAAACTGAAGTGGAGTAGGGCCGAGTGGCGCTGAATGGGGCTGTGCGGTTGCAGCCTGACTGGAACCTGCTTCCTCTGGCTGGCTCCACCAGCTTGTGACTAGGACTCACAGGACATGTCTAAGTCAATATAAAAGAACTGAAGTTCCCCCTGTATATTATCTGACCATAGTGCAATAAAATTGCAGATCAATAGCATAAGAAACCGCAAAATTTCCACAAACACATGCAAACTGAATAACACTCTCCTGAACAACCAATGGGTCACAGAGAAAATTAAAGAAGAAATTAGACAGTTTCTACAAGTAAATGGTAATGCCAGTGTAACATACAGGAATCTATGGGACATAATGAAAACAGTTCTATGTGGGAAATTCATAATAGTGAACACCCATACTGGGAAAACAGAGAGAACTCAGATAAATAACCTAATGCAGAACCTCAAGCTCCTAAAAAAGAAGAGCATAACAAACTCAAAGCTCATACAAGAGAGGAAATTATAAAGATCCAAGCAGAAACCAATGCAATGGAGACTAAAGGAATGATACAAAAATTATTGAATCATAGAGTTGGCTTTTTGAAAGAATAAATGAAATCAATAAACCTTTAGCCAACCTGATAAAAAGTATCAATTATTAGTTATTAATCCTTATTTACACTCTCAGTTTCTCACACTAGAGAAACTATTCGGTTTATTAAGCTCTAGCCTCAGCTGCACAAATGGGCAAGCATACAATGAGATCACCTATCACTGGGTCAGAGGGGTGGATAGCTGAGTCTCGGAGGAGCAGGATGATGGTGGAGCATAGCTGAGTACAGTGCGAGGTTCCACACTCAGTGTGCAGGCCATGGAATGGAGCACCCATAGCCATCCCAGGATTGGCCTGTGTGGCAGTTTGTGAAGCCACCTTACAGGAGGGACCATGGACCCATGGCTCTGCTTCCCATCACTGCTGTCCCTCATAGCATGCAGGGCCATGTGCACAGGCAGTCTTGGCTGAGCTACTGGCACCTGTGGCCCAGCCCAGAGGAGGAAACGTTTGGGGCCAGTGAGCCCCGTTCTGGACAGCTTGTAAAGATTAACTGAAGCTGCTGAGTGTAAACTTAATGGGTAACCTACATTATCCTTGAACTTAGAATTTTTAAAGGATTATTTTTTCTTAGTTCCCACAATGCTAAAAAAATATATAGATGTCTATTTGTACTTAAACAAATTACCAAAATATGATTAGGACAAATGTAAGGGATATTGTATCTCAGGTTGCTAAGGGAGCCCCTGGAGGGATTCACACATCTTTCTAAGGAGCCAGTGGGCCACAGTATAGAAAGTTCTAAGGAAAAACAATAAATTAGGCACCAGGGTCACTTCAGGCAGAGAATTCTTTCCTGTGCCCGAGTCTCATGAAAGATGCTGTGTGAACTCATAAGGCTGCCTTCTGGAGAGGATGCACATAAAGAATGGGAGTCCTGGGCTTCTCTCTCCATATGTCCCACAGGTTTTCATAGGAAACACCCTACAGATCCCATCACCTCAGCCTTACCTGAACCCTTAAAAACAGAGAAGAATTTGACCCTGAACTAGTCATGGTGAACTGGAGCGCTCTAATGAAACTCACTTGGGCTGCTTGGCCTGGCAGGGTCTGGTTAGTAGCACTTGAGTCTCACGAGGGACACCAACAGTCTCCTCCTGCAGGTGAAGGACCCAGGCTCAGCGTTCTCTCTCTCTGCAGAGTACCACGGAATTTCCACTCAGAGGGGCTCTACCTCTGTCTTGAACGGTGGATCCAGGATGAACTTGGTAATGATGAGAGATCGTGCAGAATTTCAGCCTAAATTATAATAATGTTCTTCAGTTAGATTTTTTTTTTCAAAAGGCAAGGAAAGTGGTGTTAAATCCCTTATGCTCAGGCTTTTTGTTTCTTTATCCCTGGAAAGGCCGCCCAAGTATGGTACTCAGAGGACTCTGAGGAAGGAGACATTGTTATCTTTGTTAATCCTGTCCTCACAGCACCACCTGTCTCTCAATGAATATAAGAGTGTCCCCCTACTTCCAACAGAGCCAAATCCCCCTGAGAGAACCTGGATTTTCAAAAGACCCAGATAGATTTGCAGATGGGCCACCAGACCCCCATGCTGGAGGTGGCCTTTGCTGTGTTCAACAATCAGAATCTATATGGAGATAATAGTAGAAGGGCAGAGAAAAAAAGTACATAACAAAATTATGGTTGAAGCAATTGTCAGTGCTTTAAACACAGCCAAGAAAACTCAGGGACAATCAAGGCCTGCCTTAAATGCAAGAAAACGAGATAGTCATCACATGACTTTAAAATGCCACCTCCTTGGCCCTCTTCCTTTTGTTAGGTGGCCCATGTAGCATACTCATGGCAGTAAGGATTAAATGT